TCCCTTCCCCTCTCTTACTTGGTCTTCTCACCAACTCTGGTTGTAGTACTTGAGGTAGGGATTTTTATCCATCTCACTAAAGAAGAATCTGAGTTTCAGAGAAAGGGTATGCTTTTCTCAAGGTAATTCACCTTGTCAATGGTCAAGCTGATTAAACCCAAAACTACTTGTGCCAATCTTATGCCTTTTCCACATTTTCCATCATTCAGGCAATCAATTGGTCAATGTGTCATTTCATGGAAACATTAATTGACTTCCTAGTGCTTTGGGATGGAAAGCACAGTTCTTGTCCTCAAGGAGCTCTCACAGTCCCACTGGGGAAATGGATGAGTAAACCTATGATAACAATAAAGTCTCTATCTAGTAAATCATTTCAAGAAAGTTTTATTGTTTACCTCTAAAATCTACCATAGATTATATGCCATTTTTAAAACCATGATATACAGGAATGATATTCAAAATAATTAACAAGTGGCATGTTCATAGGCATAGGCACCAACCATAAATAGATGCTGGCTATAAACAGATCTGTTAACAAGAAGATGAAAAGCTACGATGCCTACTCTTAAAGTGTTCATGGTCTAGTGGGGCAAGTCTGAAACGTGCTAAAAATGAAAAATGGAAGTCTAGATGAGCGCAGAGGAGGGGCCCCTGTCTCTGAATGTAAGGTCATGGAAACTTTCTTAGAAGTATTAGGAAGAAAATTTTGAAAAATAATTTAGGAATTTGCCTCATGGATAAAGTGGGAGGAGGGTTATTCTAGGGACAGGGAATTGAATGTGCAAAGGCTCAGAGGACTTTAAATTATATCTTTGAATTTTTTACTTGAAATTTTTAAGTTGATAGGATCCTTAGGGATTGCTCATTTGGTAACCAGGACACTGAGAGCCAGAGAAGGGAAAGATTTGCCCAAAGTCACACAGTAAGTTGATGCAGCTTCAGAATTGGAACCCACTCTGACCCAAAGCTCTTTCCACTCAGCCATGCTGACCAGACCATCTATATATTGGTTAATTATGCAGCTCATCTGCCCTATTCCATCAAGCAGTGAAGCTCTCCTCTATCTTGCCACTCATTCAATGATCAATGACATCTTTGAGCTGTTTGTCCTTTGTTGTCTAAGGAAAAATGAGAAGAGATGGAGAAGAAGAACACTGAACAAAGACTTGCAGACAGCAAGTTGGGGAACCTTGACTCTAAACAAATGCGTCTAATTGAATGACTAGCTGATTGTGTCGAAGAGATTTCTGGCAAATATAGAGTCACATGGGACTTGTGGATGAGAGTTAGCACACTACATGAATCCCAAGAAGAAGGGAGGAGGTTGGGAGCAGTGAAGGAGTGCTTAAGCACCGCTGCGAAGCAAGGGGTCCTGTGGGAAGTGGATGCCAGACTTCTCAAAGAAATGGACACTTAGCTTCCTCAGATAGTGCCAGTCCTGGCCAATATTCCACTCATTGGATGACTATCTGGGAAAAACAATGTATTACATTTAACAGACCTTCAAGGAAATGAGAATGATCTCACCTGAAGCAAACCCCCACGCTCCTTCTGGCCTCCAAACCACAGCCTCTACCAGCAGCCTGTGAATGAAGATTGCAAACAAGCAACAACAGCAACAGCCTTTGGCCGAGAACTCTGCACAGAGGTGGTGTTTACAAGCATTTACTCTGCCATCTCACGTAGAAAAAAGTGCTTACAGTACTGAGAAGAACACAACCGTAAGAGATCAGATGCCAAGAGGTGCAGCCTCTGCCAAACAGGAAGATGCATGGCTGTTAATTCCATAAGCATCTTCTGCTGTAATGTCTAGTGTGGTTTGGTTGCTCGGTTCCGACTGTGATAACCCTCTGTATGGAAGGCAGCCATAGAGGGCTTGGGTAAGTCGTTTTTCCTCTCTGGGCCCCCTTTCCTCATCTGTGCGATGGATGTGTTAGACACAACAATCTAGTTTCCCTTTTACAATCTATGGGTAAAAAAGGAAGAATTCAGTTATAAAGCACAGCATGTCAAATATCCACTTGTCCCTCTGTTACTTCATTCATTCAATCAACATTTACTGAGCTTCTACAATACTCAAGGCTCCGAGCTGGGCACAGAAAAAGCAGGTGTGGTCACTGTCTTCTGGATCCTAGAGTGTAGGAGGGAAAAACAGACATACATATACATCGTTACACCACGTGGAGACAATGAATGCCCTAACAGAGTTACGAAATGCTGTGGTGCGTGGAAGCATTTCTTGTAGAAGAATTCGAGGAAACTCCATGGTGAAGTTAGATCAGAATTGGATGATACATGGACATGAGGAGGCAGAGGTGAGGATTCTAGATGGAGTACAGCATTAGCAAAGGTTCAGGTATTGGAGAGCACAGCGTCCAGAAGGTCCAGGGATGGATAGAAACAAGTCCCTGTCTGGGCCCCCCACACACAAAAGCCAAGGTGTGGCTTAAGATGCCACATAGGTTTTGGAGAAAACTCTTTACAAGTGGCTGCTTCTAAACATATATAAATAAAGCTAGTCATCTCTTCTCTATTATCAGAATATACTTCTATGACAGTTAATGCTTAGTAATATTCTTGTTTATTTGTTCCACTGGCCTGTTTCCTGCCTTGAGGGCCAACCTGGTCCTATTTGGCTTTGTTTCCCTGTGACTGGCTAAGCCATTTGTAGTAGGCCCTAATCAATAATTGTGAAATACTACGAGGGTAGCAGGGGTGAGTTTGGGACATTCCCAAAAGAAACTATATTAATCACCCAGTTTTCCAGCATGCTCTCTTGTCTCATTTAAATACACACATAATTACAAATATATATATTATATGCAAATGTAGTCTATATGCCATATGACATGTATTCTATTCTATCCTAATATTTTATTCCCTAACCCAGGAGATAAACTCAGTAGACTTTGCAAAGTCAAGAGGCATGGAAGCATTTACTATCGATTGAAAGACACAGCTCGTGCTACTGCAATATACTTTGGCTAAAACACAGAATTTAAAACTTCCAAAACAACCAACACTTGAATCAGCCAAAATGGTTCAAAAGTTCAAATGAGCTGTTTTATGACACGACTATTTATGGGCTTTCTTGCTGTCTAGGAGGGTCACTTAAGCAGAGAATCCTAGAATTCTGGAGCCAGAGGGACCCTAGAGATGAACTTATCTTGTCCCACTTTTCTTCAGATTAGGAAACCGAGGCACAGAGCAATAATAATAAGTGTGGGGATGATATTATTCAATATTGAAAATAGGTGGATAATTGAAACCTCCATTATTAGTAGTTAATAAAGAAAAAAATCAAGGGTCTCTGAATTAGCTTGATGGAACAAAGAAACATATCTTCCACATACAAATATGGCAGTGATTCTTATACAAGCGGGGTTATAATCTAACAGGGCGTAAAACATCATTTAAATATCATCTTACAATGTTCGTGGGCAGTAATGTGTAATAGAAAGAATTATGGAGCCCAGTGTAGTAATCTAAATACTTCCATGGGGTATTCCCTTAGAGGAGTTACACTGCTTCTCTGAACCTCAGTCTCTTCGCCCATAAAAAGAGAACACTGGCAGGCCAGCCCCGTGGCTTAGCGGTTAAGTGCGTGCGCTCCGCTACTGGCAGCCAGGGTTCTGATCCCGGGCGCGCACCGACGCACTGCTTCTCTGGCCATGCTGAGGCTGCGTCCCACATACAGCAACTAGAAGGATGTGCAACTATGACATACAATTATCTACTGGGGCTTTGGGGGAAAAAAAAAAGAAGGAGGAGGATTGGCAATAGATGTTAGCTCAGAGCCGGTCTTCCTCAGCAAACAAAGAAAAAAAAGAGGAGGATCAGCATGGATGTTAGCTCAGGGCTGATCTTCCACACACACACAAAAAAAAGAGAACACTAGATCCACGGCACATGGTGGTTGGGAGGATGTAATGAAATCATGTCCATAAAGTACTTCATACAGCACCTAATATAGACTCAACAAAGGCGGGTCCAACAGCAGCTACAGATTACATGATACTCATTTCCGTCCACTATGACAAAACTATGTGCTGTCACAAGTTCAACCGTGGGTACATGCCCCCTGCTTCTTCCCCACTCCCTCAAATGCTTGTGTGTGCCCTGAGGGTACTCAATGCATGCTAACCACCAAACGAATGGATGACTCAGAGCTTGGAAAGAATCCACAGCAGGCTGGAGAGCAAAGACACAGCTTATGTCTCAAAGATTAAGTTGCTACCTTTTTTTGTCTTGTGATGGACACCTTCCAGCACTGAGAAGAAACCTCAGAGACATTTTCCCAGGAGATGCAGCTTAGAAGACAGGACCATGCACAGGGTATGAACAATATCAAGAAGCTGCTCCCCGCAGGGCACTGGGGCTGGGGACAATGCCGCCTCCAGGCAGCTGGGCATGGCTGGCTCCCACAGAAGAGAGGCTGGACTGATCTGTGCTCCCAGGGCAGCCCCCACCTGCTGAGAACTAATCCTGGGTTATCTCTCTGCTAGCCCAGAGAAATCCAAAACGCCCCAGGCTTTTGCAGGGCTTCATCTCCTCTTTCCAGGAACTCGGCTCAGCCCCTTTGCTTTCTCTGAGGTGCCACTGAGCAGCGGCTGCCCAGAGCCCAGGCGAGCCCCGGTGACATTTCCAGCCTGCCTGCCGGAGTAGCAGAGCCAGACCTGCCGATCCTGCTCCCTCTAGCTCCTTGGGCTTCTGTTTCACAATTAGAAAATCCGTTTGGGGAGCAAAGCAAAAATCGCACTTCACTAACAGCTGCTCTGTGTCGGGGGCGGGAGGCGAGGGAAGCGGGAATTCCTACTTTTGCCATAAATTGTATGCAAATGGGCTCCTTTCTTGGCAGCGAGCGGGGACTGAGTGCGTCTTTCATGAGCTAACCCTGTTCCGCTGGGAGGGCTGTTCCTTTAACTCGCCAACTGAAAAAGTGGGAAAGGATGTCTGGAGGCGAGGCGTCCCATTACAGAGGAAGGAGCTCTCTATATAAGCCAGCCAAAGCTGGCTGCACTGGCCACAGACTGCCTACTGTCACACGCTCTCCCGCGCGCAGACACACACACCCGCTGCTCCTCCGCACAAAGACGGCGCGGGCTCCGGGTGACACGGGGGCAGCGCACGTGGGGGCCCCGCTGCTGCTCACATCCAGGTACTTATTCCATGGAGCTGGTTCACTCAAGGATCTAGGTCTTTCCCAACTCCGGAAAGGTAAGTCTGTTTCCTCCCCTCGTCACCAAAGATCGTTATAATATACCGTTTGCATTCCTGGTACCAAATGGATTGTGATTTCGTTATAATACAACTTTTGCTTTGTCCTGGCCGCGGGCAAAATGGGATATTTGTTATGATCGAATGCACCTTGACTGTTTTCTACTTGCCCCCCTTCCAGTCTGGTAGATTTTTGTCTGTTTGTTTTAGTTCAATGAATAGTCACACATGGAAGGAACTTTTGGTAAAGTTTTGATCTCTGCCGCTCTTCAGAGGAAAAGTAAGAATTTTCTCTTAACTCCCTGCCTGGCTATTTCACCTGTGACGATTTTTGTTTGAGGATTAGGGAAGTAGAGTTTGAAAGTGGAGTTTATTCATGGTCTTACTCTGGGATGGGTTAGGAGGAGACTGATAGAGGATTGTAGAGAGAACAATAAAATTTTCTATCTAAACAGCCTGTACCTTACAGTTTACAAAGAGTTTTGTATCTATCCCCTCATTCCACAGCATTCACCCTGTGGTCAGATGTGGAAAGGGAGGCGGGCTGGGGCACAGCAGAGAGAAGGTGACTCCTAGGGACAGATGAAAGACTAGAGACTACAAGATGGGAGTAGTGGACACCAGCTTCCCTTCTGAAAGGCAGGGCACTCCCTGTGAATACCTCTTGATTCACTGATCCTTGGGCTGGGTACATGCGCATGTTTGAGGTGCTTAGAGCCGGTAGTATCCCATGTCTTTCTAAAATCACCTCTCCCCCTCACCTCTCATTGCAGAAAACCCTGAGACACAATTTCCCCCAGGGGTGGGAAGCTCTACCTGGCACGCTGTGGAAAGAGCACAGGCGTTCCTCCATCCCATCAGTGTTGTAGGGGGATTAAGAACTGATGTTTTGAAGCCGGGGGTCACTTTGGTATCCCCTCCACCATGACCAAAGATGTAACCCTGATGAAAGTATGTAAGCTCTTTGAGCTTCAGTTTCCACTTCTCTAAAATGGGGACAATGACTTCTGTTGTCATTATGAGGAGGAAATGAGGTATGAAGTATTTGGAAGAGCCAGCGCTCAGTAACTGAAAGTTTGGATAATCAATGCCGTTGCCAAAAACTGCCATCACCTTGAAAGTTAAAAGACACATTTAGCCAATCTTGGATTGTTTCTTGCGTGCTCCCCACCCTCTAACATCCTCCCCTTCTTTTTATCTCACCTCACCCCATCTAAGGGTGTCTCACTAGGCTGGCAGGTCAGAGACCTAGCTGTATTTTGCAATCAGGAGGTTGTGTTGGCACAAGTTGGTAAAAAAGGGAGCAGCCTGGGGCTGGATATAAATGTCGGTTCTGATTCCAGAATGTGCAAGGGTATGAGTTTGGGTATTTACAGACGGCCATAAAGTACGATGCTGCGGGGGACTCTTTGGAAATGCTTTCCGTCCAGAGGGAGAGCGGGACAGGGAGCCCCACTTGAAGAATGAATGCCTCTTTTTCATGTTTTGGTGGACCTTTTTTTGCTTTTTTATGGAGGTTTCCCATATGTGCTTTAGAAATAAAAACCTGCTGCCCACCTCAGCCAGCTTCCTGCCTTGTCCTACGATATGGCAAGCCCAACTCAGGACTAGGGTGAGGTTTGTTCACGGCTAAAGAAACCCGTGGAAAGTTTGTGGCATCATGTGCATTTAGCCCACCGCAGTTGATGTGAGTGAGTGTGCTCTGACCCTGTGCGTTTCAAGGAGGTGGTTGGTGTTTAGGGAAAGGAAAATGTGCGCAAGATAATACTCTCTGGTTTGCTGGAGCAGTGTGAATTGGATAAGGATTGAAAGAGGTGTTACCAAGCTCTACCTTCCTTAAAGTTTTTTTTTCTATGCTTTGTTTGAAAAACTTATCTTCCCTATCTTATCTTCCACTAACTGCCCCCTCCCCGCCCCAAAAGTTACTGACCTTCCAGCCCTCAGCCTTGTCGTCCATATAGAGAGGATGACCATCTTTATCTCACAGGGCTCTTGTGACATTTAAATGAGATCATAGATGGCAAACTCATGGCACAGTACCGAGCACATAGTAACGGCTCACTAAATGGAGGCTGTTCTTGGTTTTCCTGCTTATCAATTCACAAGGACTTGGTCAAGATGAATGTTCTAAGACAATGGTTTTCAAACTTATTATTAGCAGTGGAAATATCCATTAAATGAAATTGAAGGCAAAGCCCCAACATATGACAGGTAGATGGGAGCTGCTTTGGTTAAAGTGGGAGTGGAAGATCCAACACTCACCCCATTGCCCTCAGCCTCTGGGACATTAACACAGAATCCTGAATGACACGAAACACAGTGAAGAATCGTGAAGCCAGGTGCTGTGTGTTCAGGCTATGATTTTGCACTTCAACAGGGAATTTTGTCCCTCTGAGTCCCCATTTGTAACAGGACTCAGAGCAATTCCTCAATTAGCACAGTAGACAAGAATATATGCGGGAAGCTTAAAATGCTTAACAAAGGCTAATTGCTTTAGTTAATTTTAATGATAACAATAACCAAAACACACGGGGAGCCCACTCTAATCTATAGGCCCTTTGTGTACATCATCAAACTAAATATCCACAACATATCTCTCAGAAACAGATGGTACCTACTGGAAAAAGAGATGGCTAGAAGAGCAGAGAGTATGAGTAACTTTTGCGGAGTCCGAGAACTCAGAGCGATGGAACGTGTTGTCAGATGCAGGTCCCCATGATCCCCAAGTAAGACGCACGTCCCGCCACGTTTCTTCTGAATGCTGCTGATTCTTGCACAGCCTTCAGAAAGAAAACACTTCTTTCTGACTAAATCTGCCCTTCCAGCCAGACTGTGGCCACCCATAAATACAGCGGTAGCCTGATCATATAACCAGAATGGAATTTGGAAAGGGAATTCAAGCTGACAGAATGAAAAACATGTCCCCCTTAATCCTACCCTTTCTAACGCTCACAATGAACTAAGAACACCTATTCTCTCCTCCCCCTAGATTTCTATAGACAGCCAGCCGTGTTTTCTTATAGGGAAAAATATCCAACTGGCCCAAGCATAAGTCCCTCCATACTGAAGTCACTTCACTTGGAAAAGTAGAAAGTAGGTAACAAATATTTAGTTGACTCTAAATATACAATCCCTTTGTGATGAGAAAACACTCAAAATAGTTCATGTTGAGGGCTAACTACGTATCACATATAGGATAGGAGGGTTTACCTAAGGTTTCTCATCTGAATCTCACTTTACCACTGCAGGTTATGAATTACTAGCTCCGTTTTATGGACAGCGAAATCAAAGCCAAAGGAAGTGAAGTGACTCATCTGAGGGCTTTCCATAAGTGAGGAGCAGATTGGTTTTGAACCCAAACTTTCTGACTAAACCCTACTATTCTTTACACTATGCTGCATTGCCTCCTGAAGTCAGGCTGGGCAGACCTCATAGAGAACCTTGAACGAGGACTTTCAGTGATTGGCCAAGATGGTAGAGAAGCCCCAGACTGGCATTGGCATCTATTGATTTTACAGAATAGCCCTGCATACATCATTTTTCATGGTGTTCAGAAAAGGTCAGCTCATGGTAGTGCAACTCTCTGCCTGGAAATAGGAAAGTTCAAATTTCAGCCCCGAGAGAGAAGGATGACACTAGAGGTAGCAGTCAGGTCATTACTGCTGATGTTCATCCCAGAAAAGTAGGCACACATTTCACTGTGCTCTCCAGGTGGGAGCTCTGACTGGGAAGGCAGGGCTGTACCTGGACTTGCACCCTCTCTGAGAGCCAGGTGAACTCAGCACCTGGTTTTAAAAGGTCTGATTGGGAGATAAAGTCAAATTGGTGTGCCCAGCCTCAGAGCAGTGAATCCCAGGACGATCAGGAAATGGTTGGAGGCTCTGAGTCACAAATTCCCCTGAAGCCTTAGAGATGAGGGTTATAATTTAATCACCTCTCACTTTGAGTAGATCACAGGGAATCCCCTTGAATCTAATCCCAGGCCAGTCTGAACACCTTCAACATGTGGGAAACACTAGATGAAGGTTCCCTTCCAAGGAGGAAAACCCTCTCAAACTCCTGCAAACTCCGGGCAATAATTCCATCCAGCACAAAAGACAATGGTGGCCTTACCTACCATAAAGGGACTGTACACACCATGTGACTTCTTGGTAGAGGAGAAAAGTCTATGTGCCTACCTGATTCTAACCCCAGGACCAGACTTTTTTTTCACTTATGCCCTTATGAGTAGAAATCCTTTCTCTCTTTCTTTCTTCCTTGTCTCATGTTTCTGGCCTCCGTTTAAGTTTAGCAACAACCTAGTTCAATACTATCATTGCTCCCTTTGAACCTCCATCATGGAATAAAAGCAAAATGGCCCCATTGAAAGCAGATCATGCATGAAAATTTCCTTCCTTGTGTATTTTTAGTCTATTCGTGAGTGGAAATGAAAAAAATCATTTCATGCAAGTATTATTCCCATTTTTCAGGTAAGAAAAGAGGTTAGAGACAGCAGGCCACTTGCTAGAGGAATATTTACTTTTTTTTTTTTTTTTGAGGAAGATTATCCCTGAGCTAACATCTGTTGCCAATCCTCCCCTTTTTTGCTGAGGAAGACTGGCCCTGGGCTAACATCTGTACCCATCTTCCTCTACATTATATGGGATGCCACCACAGCATGGCTTGATAAGTGGTGCGTGGGTCTGCGTCCAGGATCCGAACCTGCGAACCCCAGGCCACCGAATCAGAGCGCGCAAACTTAACCGCTACACCACCAGGTTGGCCCCAGAATATTTACATTTTTAAAGGGTAGAGAGGGCAATGCTTAACACAGAGAATTAGCATTGGTGGACGTTAGACAAAGGGATACTTCAGAGGAATAGGAGGGCTCAAATTTAATCACCCAAGGATGAGTTCAGGCGTAAAACTATACTTGGTAGGCAGAAAAAATGATGGCAGAGACCGAATATTGAGTGCAAGTCAGTATATTTTTGTTCAAAACTCTAAGCCTACAGCTGCAG